ATTGTCCGAGTAACGTCTCGAGAACGGCAGGAAGGAGCGAAGTAATAGCGAAGTATGTCGTGTCTCGACCCCACCATCATCGTGGTAATCGTCGATCTACGAGGAGGCGGCCGCCGCGCCGTCAGGATCCAGCTGACACTCGACAGGAAGTTGCCACTCGAAAATACCATGGCATACATCGATGGGCCTACAAACGTTTACACTACGGTGGTAGATGGATAGACAGATAGCTCGTTACTCGGCTCTGTCATTTCACTCGCTCGTACACGTTTGCACACGACGGAACGAACGAACGAATCGTATAGGACCGTGGGATCTCCTCGTCGTTCTGTAGCCTCAAAATTCCTAATTCCCCCTTTTAAACTCGGGGGAGGCGAGTAATCGCCCTTTTAAGATCCTTATAATGTTAATTAATGTCAGGTGCACATCGGTATATGGTTCTCTCCATGTCTTTACCATCAAACTCGTAATTTCAGCGAGAGGCAAAATGTGTAAAATGTACGATAATAAAGCAATAATTCAATAATGTGAATCTTTGAAATTCAAAAAATAACGATAATAATAAATAATATTATAATAAAATATAACTTGACGATTAATTTCTGGACGGAAGGATACGAGAGTATTAGGTATTACGAGGGTTCGATATCCGGGGAGGGATATCGTTAATTCGTTGCCCTTGACTTGCAATATTCGTTAGGTGTCGATATACTGATTATACGTTTAGGCAGCAAACGTACTCGCGTACAAATCTCTCGCCTCTAATCAAATGGTGAAAAGAATTTTTTCCTGACGCGGGAGAGGTAATCATACGCCGAAGCTTTATTCCGATCGGGCGAATAGCAAAATCGTGACAGGGGAGGCGTGAGAGGCTGACCGACCTTACGATTACAGAGACGTGTTTAGAGCGCGCCGTGGCCTTAAGGTATCGACATCGTGTTCTCGGCCTCGCATTTAGCGCTAAATGCGACTCTGTGTCGGATTCTCTCAACTTTAACTCGCCCGACACAGAGATTGGATTAAAGCGAATATGCAAGCACGGAATGCAAGCACGCTATCGCCATTGTTTGCTGAATAGCTTTGTGAGTGAAAGATTTGCGTCGGTGCTCGTTACAACTCGAGATTGAGACAGACGATTCAGGAGGGAAAAAAATCAAATCGAAAGTAATCGATAAGCGGTCATGGAAATGTCAACCAAACAGGGTAGGCCAAGGGGGGTCAGCTGGAATCCCGTTGTCAGGCCTGTAGCAAGACACGTTGCACCCTCGTATCCTTAACGTTGTTCCAACCACGATTTGAATCGCGCAAAGCAGTTTCGTCGCGTAGAAATACGCACTTTGCGCTCGGGAAATGAACTAAATATCAAAGTGTGCATGAGAGAGATTCTCAGAATTTAATAAATTATTTAAGTAACAGTTAAACTATATTAATTTTATTCCGTCCGGCACAACTATGCGATCAACGAATATTTCTTTATATCAAAATTTTATTCTTGTAGGGAAAAAATTATCGTTACGATTCTAGTTTCAGTGTGTGTGTATTACGGTTCCTCTCTAAAATCAATTTCGCATTGTCTCCTGATAATTGAGATTCAAAAGCGAAGGGATCGTTCGAAGTGACATTTCTTGCGGGTTCGTGCATTTGCGAGCAGCCATGACACAATCGCGATTCTCGACGTTTCGGATCGCTGTTCGCTGGTCGTCGTAAAATGCGGCTGTATACTCTCCGATCCGCGCCGCGCTAACGCGCAGACGGAGTTTCGCGGGTCTTAACAACGTCCATCAGCAGCCAAGTCGATACGATAGGTATAATGAATGAAGCACGGCGTTTAGCCTCGCACGAACAAAGACGCTGAATCGCAATCGTCACGATCGGCTCGACACGTAACGTACAAGTATATGTACGGAGCGCACATTCCGCGTTGCCGCACGCTCTATCGTTTGTGCGCTGCATCTGTGTATACGCTCGCCTATTTATAGTATAGACACAAAGTGCAGAAATAACTGGATGTCGATACGGCGCTATTAATTTCCCGGCACCGTATACACGTTCCGGCACGTCCTGGAGGATCCTCGTCGTTACGCGAACCCGAGCTCCTTATCTCCTTGATACATTGACTTGGCCCGCATTAGCATTCGCGGCTTGCATTTTAACCAACTATGTGCATGCAATAAACGTCTGGAACAGGTATAACGTGTACGTCGCGCGTGGTTTTTCCGCTATTAGATATCGCGTTATCGCAAACGCCGTGGATCCCATTTACCTGACAGGAATATCTTCTGATTGAAACGTGTGATAATAACGTAGATATTAATTTGCAGCTAATATATCCTATACAATCAAGCACGTCTAATTAATATAATAAATAGCTCGTAGCCTCAAGTCAATTATTACTCGTCATACTCGGCAAATGAAGTGGTCGATGCGCACGAGCTTGGTGATTGTGTCGAGATAAATCGCGAAATGGGAATTATGCGTGGAAAACGCGTCGCTTATCGGGCCACGCGTCTCCAATGGGGTACCACGACTTAATCGATCGCCCTGGAATGCCGCTACTGTCGCACACCGAAGGAGGCCGATTTATTACCCCGCGAGAACGCACCGCGCACTGTATGGATTTCAGTTAGGGCGTGGAGGAGACGAGAGGGAAGGTCTGGCATTCCAGACGCGCGCGCGCGCGCGAGCGAGCGTCGACGTCCCTTTCGCTTCGCCCGTCGACGTTGAGGATGTTGGGCTCTTCGGCGTGCGACTCGCGTACCAATCGGGTCATTTCTATGTGGAGTGCAATGTGCCATTTTCCTTTTTTTTCGATCAGTCATCTCGATCGGATCTTCTTAGGTCGAGTTGCGGGGAAAGCTTTCGTAATTGGAATGGTTGTGTAAGTCAGAAATATATACGATAATAAAAAATGAATAAATTTAGCGAGCTCTTCGAATGAATTAAGCTTAGAAATGCGAAATATCGATCTAACTTCTATTCACATGCTTCTTTCAATCTTATGGATCTCAGCACGTTTTTGCAAAATGCCGCGTAGATTAAATCCTTGTTAATGAGCCGTCGTGCGCTGCACGCATCTCGGCGCGCATTGAACGTCAACACGTGCGCGTTCTGCAGGAAAGTCAGCGGCACGCTAACTGGAAAATTATGCAAAAACCACCGTAATATTTACGGAGCCACTCGTCGTCGCTTCGCCAAGATGTGGGAAAATAAAGAGGTCGGAGACATAAGTCGGGGCGACTCTCGGTCATTCGCGAAGTGGACGACAGACCAATTATGCGGCGGCGCGAAATCGGCATTACCGCACGTGCATATAAAACGCGTGTATTATGCGCGATGGTGTGCCCGGTCCCCCGATCAGCAAATAGTGGAATGTTAGCCAAGCTCGTTTGCCACACGAAGATATCCGCGTATTAACCGGAAAGCTCGTCGGCGCGGCATCGCCGTCGCCGCACACACAGGTGGCCGTTTAATATAAAAACACTTTATAATCTTCGCGCGCCTTGATCTACCGCGATTAACTGCATTCGGCGCAGTTAATCAGCGACCGTCATTAACCCCAATTACGAAACGCCGCAAATTAATATTCAGTCAGCCGATTTATTACACGATTCGTCGACTCGTTTCGATTTAATGTCAGACTTGGCACGCAGAATTATTGTTTATATTTTATACTTACTTATATATAAGTAAATTTACTTAATATTTTACATTACGCAAGTGTACAATATAGCAATTATTATATATCTCTGTTACTGCTATATTTTTCACAGCTGTGTAGACATTGTAGACCAGATAGCGAAGCGAATAAAGACGAAAAATTATAAAACGGCCGTGTTTCGATCTGTAATGCGATTTTTCGATGTCTACGTAGACTTTCCCACGCGAATAAAGTCACGTAACGTGGTCTTTATCGCGCGAATAAATTTCTTTCGTTTTCGCGAAAGGGTTTTTGCACCGACTAGCACGGCGCATCGTAATAACGAGTCGGGTTCCTACGCCGTTGCGCGGATACGCGCGTGCATTAGCATAAGCCCGGTATGCGAGATAGTCGAGGCGTAGGCGTATATACATAGATACGAACACGCGGGGCATAAAAGGGAGCAATAAGATCGGAAAGAAACGGCGGAGGTGGAAAAAAGACCGAGGACACCGACCGAAAAGGCGTAAAAGACGGGCACGAGAGAGAAAGAAAGATCGCGAGGAAGACGTAAGAAAGCGGGAGTGCAAACGGGTGCGCATGGGTTACCCGCGATAAGATATGCGCAAAGCTATTTCTGTAGAACGTACGTTGACGACAGGCGCGGATTACGGGAGATAAGCGGATAAGGAGAGTAACGCGTAAAGGTCGGGCACCTTCTGCGCGATTCCGATCGCTTTATTTACAAGGAGTCGGTTTGCACTCAGCACACCACATCCTTGGGCCGAAACGTTGATATTTGAAACTTTACGATAATTGCAATACAAATACGTACTTGTTTGATTTTTCTAGCCATTAAAACTGATTAGATTATTTCTCGCGCAGAAAATAATTAAAATGAATGCGGCCACGAGGATTATTACCAATACTTGATGCGTTGCAAAACAACTATGAATGGAATCTTCAGGTACTCGAGCTTATCTTAACCAAAATGGAACATTTCGATATGTCCTGTCACGGCAGTTTTCCTATCAGCAAAGGCGCCGTAATGAAAAGCGAAAAAAGATAGAAAGAGACGCTTGAGATTAAATGATCATTTTCGCACGTTGCACTGGCATTGGAATTCAAATGCGCCAGGAACCAGGGTCACGCAGGATTATCTTCTCGCTCGTAAGAACTCGTTTTTGCAAAATATCGACGCTTTCACTTTCACTTTCACAGATTGCTTTATCTTTAATTGAACTCTCGATTATCTCAGTTTAAATCAAACGTATTTAATCCGGTGGTACGGCGAAGGCAATCGTTGCCGTCGGGTTAAATCGACCCTCGGGCGATGCGGGAGTTAATTCGATGGTATACGTACCGAGGCAGGTGATCGAGTGGTCCGCGGGTGGTCGTAGAACGTTTCGCGCCCATGCCGCCCTCAAAACCTCGAGGGCGCAGGGCGGTCCGCTAACCATCAGCACACCCGGCGACACGTGGCCCTTGTACCTTAGCTGCCGGGTCGCATCCACCAGAGCCGCGTTCCACCAGCATTTGGAATTCGCTTCCAAGAAACTCTGCAACATACAACGAAATAACCTTTTACCCGTATTTCGTAATGGAAATTTCTATTTGACAAAATTATATCAAATTATATTAAAAGTTACACAGTAAAAGTAATTAGTATTCAATTTTTTTGAATTTTTTTCGTTCTTAAATATCAACCATTTATTTGATAATATTGTTCTATAATTTGTTTTTAAATATTTTTTATAAACTCCCCATGTTCGCGAACGAATATGGTTTTACGACAGAAAGATAATCTTCGCGAAATCATGCGACTGTATAATAATAAAATATCGTCCGCACGTTCGTCGTATTTTGCGTTACCAATAAAAAAAGGTTGTTACGCGTCGCGCGATAAAAGCCGGCGAGTGACCCCCTAAAATATTGCTCGGTGGCTAAGTGTTTATCTCTCCGTGGAGCCGTATGGCGTTTCACCCTCGTCGTAACTCGGGGACGAAACACGATTCTACCCCTATGGATGTTTCCTAGAACCCCCGCGTAGTTCCGCGTCGCAGAATGAGCCGTGATAGGGTCGAGAGCCCCGGACAATGCTCATAAACGAACGGCCCCACAGGATTTTTCTCCAGCCCTGTCTTCTCTTCCCTTCTCGTCCGGCTAAACCATGAAATTAGTGCGGAGTGCTGGAATCGATCGGCGCGAACTCAGGGTGATTTATAACAGCTCTCGTTCGAACAATCGATGCGATCAGTTTCCACAATTGTGAAAAGTGTGCGCTTTCCCATTGTGCTCGTATGAGCAACGGCTACATACACGAAAGGAGACTAATTTGCCGTATCGTGAAAATTTATTACGTCAACTATGTATAAATTGATCGGTAAAATAATTATCTTCGATATATTTAGAGTTATATATCTTGTTATGATACACAGTAAATATCTCAGACTAAATCGTGTAATTTGCTGAATTGCCGGTGTAGATGAAACAATGTAAGATAATGCTGGGGTACACGCGGACGCGGTCGTTAAAATTTCACAGTGGCGTCAATTCAAGCCACTTTGCGTCTCGCTCGAACGGAAAGACAACGGACGAGGCAGCGAGTCCAATTTAATCCCGTGTAATAAAGAATACAATGCGCGCCGCGTGGATAAGACGATTTTGCATCTAACGGCAACGTAAGAGCAACGTAGGATCTCCGGACTTTCACCATCTGGAAGTCGCCGTATAGCGGAGCCGTACAGCGACGGTTACCCTACTACCAAATGACGGAACCTCCGTGTAGCCGCTGCAAATTACACATCCGTGATCGATCTGATCCGCCGCGAGAACGACCGGCCTCGTTTTGTGTCTGTGCAACGGAGCACGGCGCAAACATCCACCCTTGCCAAGGCTGCGTTTCGTATTCCGTCGCAGATGTACGTTCATCGTTCGCGGATCTCGTCGTATCTCCCGCGTATATACATAGGTCGAGAGAGACTTTCCACGGAATAACTCCACGAAACTTTTACGATCGCGGCAACCGCGCCGTCGGTTTACGTGACATCTTTTAACTCGGAGATATTTCGTAACGAGCGTACCGTGATTTTTATATTTAATCGCAAGTATTCCCGTCGCGAGGCGCGACACGCCTCTGAATCACTGCCGTCCGCGTAATGACGTTACTTAACGTCACGAAACGAAGCGCGCGCTTTCGATCGCAATCGGATTCTTTTATCCTGGAGGTATTATTACAATCTCTTGTGGCGCGGAGGAGCGGCAGCGTCAACTTTCGTAATCGCGGCGCGGCGGCGGCGCGATTGCGACATCGCGGCGCGAATTTTCGACACTCCGGCGAGGATGATATTGTAATAAAGGTGCAACGCTCTCGCGCGTGCATGTGGGCCGGTTTATTAAATCGCCTGCGACGCGCAGACGGCGATTTTCAGCAGGTGAAACTTTTCGGTTACGTCAAAGCCGTGCTTCCTCGAGCTCTCGGCGCACGGCAGCTCCCCCACGTGGGGAGCTGCCTCTTGGTGTGTCGGATCAACCGAGCGGACACGATCGATTTCACGAGATCGTGCCTTCCACCGATCTCTTTCTCCCGACGCGATCGGGACACCTTCCTACAATCGAATTACTCTTAACGCTTCGTTTTTTCCGCCCGGTTGAACACGCTAAACGGAGAAAAGCGCCACTTTCGCAATTTTAAGGAAATTTCGTCTGTCTCTTAACCGTCCCTTTCGTAATCTTGGCTAGGCTTTACGAAAACATCCTGGAACGTTTAATCACGCTCTAACTGCGCCGACAATCGAATCTACCCTATCTGTGCTACAATACATGAGTAAAATTTATAATTTTTATGATCGCCCATATATCGTGTAGATCTATTCGTGCCCTTACTTGTAGCAGTCTAAGTCCGAAATGTCGGCAAGAGAGTTGCGTAGATACGTAAAAATATCGCGTTACATCGCGGAATGTGTCGGGGTGGGCAACAGGATATGCTGATAAAGTAGACACTCTTGTTGTCCATGGGAGGATCTAACCGTGAGACGCGAGAGTGCGACAGTTCTGAGTTAACCATAATTAACGCTGAACCAGCTACCATGTCTCCTGTATCCAGCCCAGCTGCACGCCAACTAACTGTGCGAAAAAGAGGGCTTTGATACGGGGGATCCGCTAAACGCAAATTGGCGTTACCGTATTGCGACGAACGTTACGTTCCGCAAGATAACACAATCCCCGTCTCCAAGAATAACGCTTTACAGATTCTCACTTAATCTGCAGAAAACGAGCGTCGCAAATAAACGTTTATCAGGTCGAAAGTTATATAAAATAGCCCTCAAATATAAACGATTCCGTATTGAATGAATCAAATGCCATCCCTTGAAGTCCCCAAGATTATCTTGTATTTATTCTCGAGACCTTGTATACATTCTGCCCCCTAACTGCCCAGAAGATTATAAGCTGCTGATATCGAGGGGAATAGTAGAGCGAAATGTACGAACGACCGGGAACGCCGAGGGTGGAACATTTGGGAAACATAGGATAACGATGAAGAAGAGATAACGTGGAATTGGAAATCAGATTGGAAATCGCGATTTCTTCGACCGTACATTTCTTTATAACACTCGAAAAAATAGAAAGAGTTCGGTACGGCAACAAGTTATTTTTAACTGCACTATTCGACGCCATATTTGACCCTGAGATTAAAACAAAATAAGCGTTCGCGGTTTGCGAAGGAGAAATAAAAGTAAATCACGGGGAAATGCAAAAGTGTTAGAACGAGCCTATTGTTGTTCGGCGGCGCGGTGCTTGGCGCACGTAACATACGTATTGCGATTTCCATACCGGCAATGAACTTGCGGCAATACGGTCTATAGGGTGTTGTACGGTCGTTGGCTGCCCGTTAATTATTATGCAATATACTCGCCGTGCACTCTCCCACCGCGCGTATATGGTTATCCTTTTAAAGCTCTAACCTGAGACGCCGCGCACGAACGTGAGCGGTTAACGGAGTCGAACGAAATATACCAGAAACTTAATGCCAGCGCCATTCGCACTGCGGTATTATTGCGCTCTGCGTCGGGCTTATCGATCTATCAATATCCTACTAGCGTCGCGAGTACATTAATCCACTAGTATATGTTTGACAACCAAAACTGCTATATATGTATATGTAGTATCTTATCCGTATTGTGAAGCAATTGGTATGTGTGGCAGAAAAGATGATCGAGATGAGCTCTAATTTTATTTTACAAGACGCCACATTTTGTTGCCGAAGAAAAATTATAAGAGACATTTTAGCCTCTAAAAGTCCTTTTGTCATTGCGAAATTGATCTATTTATCAGCCATTACCGGATGACAGGCGTCAAGATGTTCGCCCGCGCCCGTCGTTTCGAATTTTAATCAGCAACCCCCTATAGTCCCGCCTGGGTACGCGGACTGCAAGCATAAATCACGATAACATAATTTATATGCTAATATCGCGAGTGCAGCGTGCGCTCGAATAATACGTTGGGCGAGAGACGCGGGGATCTCTTTTTCTCCCTCTTTTCTCTCTAACTGGGTATAGTTACATCCAGATATGGACACCATCACATACTCTTATTCATCATGTCAATAGAGAGTCAATAAAGACTCGTCACACAGAAAAAAAACCGACTAACCCTCAAAATATTTTTCCTGATCAAATATAAGCTGCGTCTTATGAAGCATTATAGAAAAGAAAAACTTATTAAGATATTAGCTTGGCTATATCTTCTCATGTTGCAATAATAATATAATTGCAATTGTTATTATTATTTGAATAGATATAAATATTATAGTGGGATTAATTTATTCTATGTTTCATTATTCTCGGTTCACACAAAAAGCTAATAAGCAAGAATAAATTATCCAAGATTAATAACGTCCACGATGATTTAACGTTAAATAACGAATAACATTAATATTTATATATCGTAAGGCAGAAAATAAAGCTCCGACATTCCATGTCATCGTTAATCTATGACTCGTGAAAGAAAGCGCGACAAGAAGAAGGGGTACCGACGGCACCCCCTCTTTCCCGTGTATTTTTTTGCAATTAAATCGGCAAACAAATAGACGATCGTGCGCGAATTGCTTCGAGGCGAATGGGCATCCCGCGGATAAACGAGTTCTCGAGGCGCGGGAGATAAAAGTCGAGCTGGCTCGTGATATACGCTGCGTGGTGCTGATTTACGAAGTCGGCAATGGACGAGGACGACGACAACGGCGACGACCGATTCCGCTTTCAACGGCGCGCCGGCCAGGAAAAACGTCGATGAACGGGAGAGCCCGAGAGTGAGGTGGCTGAACCTTGGCCGAACCCTCGGACCAACACCAAGTCCGACCCGCTCGAACGACACGCGCTTGGCTTGACTTTATTGTTTTAAGTGCCGCACACTAGTTACGTTCTGGGTTCGGTTCCAAGTCGCCCAAATATTACGCTCCGACGATATTCGCGATTGATCGCAACCGAATACAGAGCCCCATTTAGGTTTTCCTTTTCAATTTAAATCTGAGAAGAGACGATTCACGAGACAGTAATTAAAC